TAATGTTTGTTCACACGTACATGTATTTATGTATAATGTGTGTTCACATGTACATGTATTTATGTATAATGTGTGTTCACATGTACATGTATTTATATATTTAATGTGTGTTCACATGTACATGTATTTATATGTTTAATGTGTGTTCACATGTACATGTATTTATATGTTTAATGTGTGTTCACATGTACATGTATTTATGTTTAATGTGTGTTCACATGTACATGTATTTATATGTATAATGTGTGTTCACACGTACATGTATTTATATGTTTAATGTGTGTTCACATGTACATGTATTTATATGTTTAATGTGTGTTTGCATGTACATGTATTTATATGTTTAATGTGTGTTCACATGTACATGTATTTATGTATAATGTATGTCTACATGTACATGTATTTATGTTTAATGTATGTTTAATGTATGTTCCCTATTATCTACTCCTGATGTACATGCATGTTCAATAAATTAGTATTCACATCATGTACATGTATTTGAAGTGTGTTTATATGTACATATATTTATGTTTAATGTATGTTTACATGTACACGTATTTGTGTATAATGTATGTTCACATGTACCGTATTTATATACCGTGTGACTCCCTGAAAATTCTGCTATACTAACTAGTTCGTTCCAGAGCACGGCCTCGCGGAATTACCGTATTTTTCAGCAAATCTATAATTTTGAACCTCAGACTGCGAACTCCCTCTTTTTGAGGGCAGGGAGTCCGTCAAACTCCCTTGTTCAAAAGTTAATTTCTAGCCCTGCACACACATTCAGATAGAGAGGGGGACAGGGGGAGAGAGTTGAGAGGGGAGAGAGAAAGATAGATAGAGAGATAGGAGGGATGAAGAACGATACCGAGATCGAAATAAATAGCAAGAGAAAGCGAGACAGAGAGTGAGAGCGAAATTGATAGTGAATGGGAAAGAAAAGAAAGTGAGAGTGAGAAAGAGAGATGAAGTGTATTAGTCACTGAACAAATGAAACTTTGAAAGCATAACTTTGAAGCTCTATCGAGGCATTCTCCAGTACCAAACCTTCAGGTCAATCCATCGATTCGGTGCTATTGCATTAGCGAGTGTGATGGTCCATACTTTGGAAGTAACTCACTTGATTTACACCGCAGTGGCAAACCGCACGTACGTGTGCCGTTATAATGTGTCATTATTTCTACCCATCATCTAAATTAAAATACCCAATATATATATATATATATATATATAACATATATAGTATATATTATAATTATATATATATATATATATTGGGTCATTAACAGTTGTCGCGACATTGAGATTAGATGAATAGACACGAGATGAGATCATTGTGGAGCAGCATGAGTGGACCTACCTTTGATTGCGTCTGTTGGTGCGACTGAGAGCCTCTCGATCATGTACTGCGAATGACAACCGCACTGCTAAACACAACAATGCGTACAGCAGAATAGAACGTCTTCATTACGCTAGCCTATATAGCACAATGATCGTGTAGATCGATCTATGATAAATCCTAACTGCTTTGATGAGGGTGATTGGGTAATGGATATCGTTATGAATGCATAGGAATGTCCTGAAGGACAATATGTTTGCAGTGACCAATGAATTCCTTTTTCAATGGCAAGCATGGATATCGTTATGAATGCATAGTAATGTCTTGAAGGACAGTATGTTTGCAGTGACCAACGAATTTTTTTTTTCAATGTCAAGCGATCTAATATGCTAAGAGCGCCAAGGATGTATTCCGCATATTCGTAAACAATCACCCAGGCTGATCTGGTTCGTTGTTCAAGCCCGTTTACCGTACAGCGGGCGGCAAACTTCAGACAAAGCTACCATAAAACAACACCATTACGTCCGTTAGTACAGCTGAAGTGGTCGTTGTCGTATATAGTACTACTATATAATGTACCCGAGGTACATATATGTATTACATTAAATGTAAATATAAATGCTAGTCGTAGGAGTCGCCTAACGCCTACTCCCTAACCCTAACTCATATCAGATAGTTACCTCGCCGTACATATATGCTAGTACGCGCGTATAACGACAACAGATCCTTTCAGTGTTAGTACTGGCTGGGTTGGGTGAGAGTGGGGAACACAGGGAGGATGGGTGGGCGAGGGTAGGAGGATTTTAGGCAGGGGTGGGTCGGATAAGGGGGAGGACAGGTGAGCTGGTTGGAGGAATAAAATGCAGATAACAGATGGGGTGGGTGAGCTGGGAACCCACAAGGAAGACGTCGGGTGGGAAGACTCAAAACAACCTGAGGCGGAGGACTGAGGGCTGAACTTTCAAGAGAGACGGGCTAACACCTGGAGGGATGGCGCGAATGGCAATCAGACCGATGTGACCATGGGAGGGAGTTCACTCAATAACTGCTGTCTGCCGAGGCAGACAGACAGAGAGAAGAGAGAAGAGAGAGAGAGAGAGAGAGGGAGATAGAGAGAGCAGAGTCCAGAGACAGAGGACAGAGACAGAGACAGGAGACAGAGACGACAGAGACAGCAGACAGAGACAGAAGACAGAGACAGCACAGGAGAGAGAGGAGGAGAGCAGGTAAGAGAGAAAGAACGAGAGAGATGAGAGAGAAAGAGAGAGAGAAGAGGAGAGATGTGAGGGAGACGAGAGAGAGAATGCAAGAGACCGTAGAGGACGAGAGAGAGAGAGAGACAGAAAGAGATAGATGAGAGGAGAGTCAGAGAGAGAGAGAAGAGAGAAGAGAGAGAGGGAGAGAGGGAGAGAGATCTTGGAGAGAGAGAGAGAGACAGAAGAGAGAGATGAAGCCAATGGTGACGAAGAGGAGAAACGAGGCTGGGGAGAAGAAGGGTAGAAAGTGAAGGTGAAGTCAGGTGGCATCGGCGACCACCAGTTTCTCCCACACGTGAAATGCGAGGGCGCCAAAAAATCCGACTCAACCAGCCAAGCAGTCAAGCGTAGCTCTAGTACTATACGCCCGCGTGTCCTTAACTGCCTGGCAGGCAGTTTAGATGAACGCGGCTATAGTACTAGAGCTATCCAAGCAGCAGCATTTTCCGGCCCTCGATAGCTCGACCCAGCCCCATCTACTATACTATTCTACGCGACTATTTCTATATACTATATTTACTCGACGAAAAAACGCTCTCTGCCGCGATGCGACTGCGAGTCAGTTCAAACCATAGAAATGATATATAGATAACCATATAGATTATCTATATTATATATAGATATATATAACCATATAGGTTATCTATATTATATAAATATCTATTATATATAGATATATATAACCATATAGGTTATCTATATTATATAAATATCTATTATATGATGGGAATAATATATAACCATATAGGTGTATCTATATTAGTATAAATACTCTTATTAATAGGTATAGATATAGTATAACCATATAGACGTTATCTATATTTATATGAAATGATCTTTTATATAGAATATCAGTAACCATCGATAGCGTGTATCCTGATATATTTCTACTGGTTCAAGACATCGTCCGATCAGCAAGCAGCAGCGCACAGAGCAGCGCGCAGCAGCCAGGCAAGCAGTAGGCAGCAGTAGTAGCTAACAGCGCAGCAGCAGCAGCAGCAGCGCAGCTAGCAGAGCAGCAGCAGCAGGGCGCAGCAGCAGCAGCAGCAGCAGTAGCATTGCAGCAGCAGCAGGCAGCGCAGCAGCAGCGGCGGCTGGGAGAGTTTAGCCTGCGGTCGTACACATGTGGCTCGCGGTGCGGTGCAGCCACACGCAATCCCGCATAGGCGTCTCGCTTCCACCTCGGTACTTGCCTGTAGCGTGGGCGGGAACCCTGCGGAGTATCCCACGGTCCCAGCACGCAACCTAGCAGACGTACGAGGTCCCCACTCCAATACACCGCGACTGTCTGCGATAGAAGTATGCGTGGTTAGCCTCCTGTATGTCGAGGCAGTGATAATACCCGGTATCGTATCGCGGGACGACATAACGCCCCGGACGGAACTACCACTCAGACAGTACCCCCCCCCGGAACAACTAGCACCCGGACACTACCCCTCGACATTACCACCCGGACAACTTACCACCAGCAACTCCCACTCGAACAACTACCCCCCAGACAACTACCCCACCGACAACTACCACCCAAGCACAACTACCCCCCGGACAACTAACGACCCCAGACACTACGCCCCGCAGGACAACGTACCCCCACCCGACACTACCCCGCGGCCAACTACCACCCGGACAACTACCACCCGCCAGACAACTCCACCCGGGACACTACCACCCCGGACAACTACCCCCGGACAACTCACCCCCCGACAACTACACCCAGACACTACCCCGACAACGCCGACACAGCGGCACCCGGACAACTACCCCCGCGACAACTACCACCCGCAAACTACCACCGCCCGAACAACTACCGGACACTCCGAACCACTCCCCGCCCAAAACCCGTAACAACTAACCACCGCCGGAAATCCAGGCAACTCCCCCACCACCCGGAACTACGACTACAACCACGCACGGCAACCAGAAACTAACCACGCCCCGGACAAACTACCCCCGGACACACTAGCCCACCCGCGACAACTACCCCCCGCGACCAACTACCACCGGAAACTACCCCCCGGCAAACTACCCCCGCAACTTACACCGCGGACAACTATTTCCCTCGCGGACAACTACCCCCACCCCGGACAACTACCCAAAACCCACGCCGGACACACCGGCAAACTACCACCCGGACAACTACACCCGGAACTACCCCGCGGACAACTACCCCCCGGGACAACTCCGACACCACGCCGCGACCAAACTACCCACCCGGACAACTAACCCCCCCCGAACAAACGCCCACCCGGACTAACATACCCCCCGGACAACTACCCCGAACAACTGCCCACCTGGATAACTACCCCCTAGAGTTAGGGTTAGGGTTAGGGTTGTCCTAGGTGGGTAATTGTCCTAGGGGGGTAGTTGTCCAGGTGGCAGTTGTCCAGGGGGTCATAGTCCTAGAATCACCCGGTATGTGCATAATCGACATATACGCGTGTAGATTGCCTTAAAGTACGTGAAAATCACGTGGGAAGAGGGAATCGATGATGTACACAAATCGAGGATGAAAAATTACTTAACGCAACCTGCGAAGAATAATAAACTTCAACGCTTCGCTATATCCCGAGCCACTTTCATCGGAAGGAAGTTCCTTCAAATCACGCTCACTCGTGATTCTGCGTCCGAAACACACCGCTCCTTCTCTATCCCCTCCACCACCACCACCTACTCCAGGCACACCTGCGCAGGAGACAGCTGTTGTCCACGAGCTTGAAACAATTTTTTGTTTGTTTTGTTTGAAAGTTGGGAATCCCGGTGACGTCACGAGGCACCGCGTCCTTCACGCACGACCTTGAACTGACCTCGCTTCCCGACGTCACGTGCACGGGGGCTGGGCGGGAACGACAAGCTGGCACGGAGCGCCGATCTAAGCGGCTGCCTCTTGCTACGAGTCACGTTTATACGCCACCCCCTGACGGCGGCTCACCCCCTGACGGCGGCTTACTGCTGTCAACCGAACCACTCCATCAGCTACGATCACTCATATTTCTTATTGACCCATTACAGGACGATGTGTGCCCTCACCCAAACCTTCAAGAATGCTTTCGCGAAATCTATAAGGTCTTAGGGAGCTAGTGGTGGATGTTAGAATGTGATCGCCATTCACGCGGGCGAGGGGCAATCCGTACTCGGCGGGCTGAGCCTGGGGCTGGAGGGTCTATGTCCCCCAGGGGTACATGCCAGGAACGTACCCTGGGGTACTCGGTCCGAGTATACCGGAACGTACCCTGGTACTATCTAATATGCCGGGATCGTACCCTGCCTTTACTCCACTAACGAGTTCTAGTGGGAGTCGCCTAGACGCGCTACTCCATACCGACCCTACCTACCCTTAATCCTAACCCTCCATTATCAAGTACGAAATAGTGACCAGGTGTACGTTCGGTATACCGGCCGTACTCAAGGGTACGTTCCGCAGTACCTGGGCGGACATAGACCTATGGAGCATGCTGGGGTTATAGCATCCAGGGACCGCTATACGCTTCTAGCGGGCAAGTCTCGACGCACATATGACAGTGCCAGCTCTGCACGATGCTCTTACATGTGAGTAGAAGTGTCGCCTAGCGCTGAGAGTGATTGATGTGTCGTGTAAACCCAACCTGCTTTAAGTGAGCACACACATACGCACACGCACGAAGTACACCACGCACGCCCCGCGTCCCCCAGACCACAGACACACACGACCACGCCCCCCCCCACACACACATAGCACGTAAGAATGCGCACGCACGCACGCACGCACGCCCCCACACACATACAAGCACGTAAGAATGCGCACGCACGCGCACTCAAGCACGCACGCACGCGCC